CATCTTCTAGGCACGTGGACAGGGGTTGGCACCACTATGTTGCACAATGGACACTTGACAAAATCACTGGACTTAGTGACGGACATTGGGGGGTGGTTATGTCATTCAGTCTTCAACCCGCAAAATAGCGTAGTAACCTATCTAGCTAATCATCATCATCAATTCAACTCACTTTAGCAGTTTTGAATGTACCTCACCGCCGCAGCTATATTGAAGTCCTTTGTGCAGGGGCGGGGGGCAGGCTCTGGGAGGAAGTTTGGGACTAGGACCTGCCCTCAGTAACTTACAGTCTAACAGCCAGATTCCAGCCTTGTCCAACCCAAGTGTTTAAAACTCATGAGTTTGGCCCCCAAATTTATGAGATTGTTTAAAAATAATAATTTTGGGATTTTTTTTATATTCTGGATTTTGAGCCCTTAGGGTTCGTGCTTCCCAACTTTCCTCTGAAATTATGAGGGCTGTAAACTTTCTTTTTAAAAATGAAAGCTACGGTTGTCTTAAATGACGTCTCTCCTGCAGCTGGGATTTAAGAAAAACACCAAATATTACAAGGCTTGTGATAAAACCACGAGAGTTGGCAACACAGATTTTGATACCCTTCCTCAAGCTGAATAGACACTCCACTAGACGTCCATTGACAAAGTGCCTGCCCTCATACATGCTTTCAACCTCCCTTCTCCAAAGCAGACTGCCCTCCTCCCTGCTGGGGCAGGGGGTTAGGGTGCAGGGGGTTGGGGGGCGCTGGATGGGGGGGAGCACTCACCTCCGGCAGCTCCCCACAAGCAGCAACCCGTGCCGTGCCTGCTTTTGCTGGTGGAGGCGCGGCCAGGCAACTCTCTGAAGGGCAAGCACGCTGCCTCCATCTGCAGTGCCGCCCCCGCAGCTCCCATTGGCCGCAGTTCCCAGAGGCCTAGCCAATGGGCTGGGAGCTGTGGAGTCAGCGCTTGCGGAGGGGGGACAGAGGCAGTGTGCAGAGCCATCTGGCTGTGCCTCCATCACTCCCACGAGTAACAGCAGCAGGAACGGGGTCAGGGAGCTGCTTGAGCTGCCGGAGATGCACCCCATCCGGCACCCCAAGCCCCCACCCCCCATCCCGAGTTCCCTCCTGGACTCAAACTCCCTCTCAGAACCCGGCTGTGCCCTGCAGGCGCTCCCATGCCCCAGCTCCCTCCTGCCCTGAGCCCACGGACCTAAACATTTTTATGGTGGACACCTGTGTCCATGTACGGACACATTGCCGACACATGTACATGGACCGAGAATATAAATTGAGGGACAGTGGCATCGTGTCTTGGTCTTTCTCCTCCCCCACTTACTCTGGAATCAACAGGAACACTGAGAAGACAACAACTTCACCTGCGGAGACTGGTCTAGGTGAAAGAAGGAAACCTGTGTATTATGAACTGTAACATCCAGAGGGGTGAGGAAAATTGCTGCTCTAAATACTGCCTGGTGTAGTAAGGTTTAAGATTTAGAATGTGCATCTATCTTGTACTTTCTTTGGTAACGATCTCCGACCTTTTTATGCCTATCACTTATAATCACTTAAAATCGATCTTTCTGTAGTTAATAAATCTGTTTTATACTTTTACCTAAAACCGCGTATTTTGCTTGAAGTGCTTGGGAAACCTCAGCTCAGTTCACAAAGGCTTGTGCATGTCTTCTCCACATCGAGGAAGGGGCTGGCCGCAAAATAAAATTACACTGGTCAGGCTTTTGCCCAGGGCAGGACGGTGCAGCTGTGGTGTGCAAAGCTGGGGCGGAATTGGCTGGTGCCTTTCTCTGTGTGATTTGTGAGTGGCTTTGGGGTATTCATGCCATCTAGCTGGGTGTGCGGCTCCACATGCTGGTGTGCTGAGTAACAGCGTGTGGAGGTGTTTGCTGGTTGTCACTAGCAAAGCACTGTGAGAGACAGCCCAGGCCGGAGAGTTAAGGGGGCCCAGTGATACCCCATTTCCAGGTTGCACCCCAGGGATCCTGTCACAGACTCTCCCAGCTCCTAACCCCCCAGATGGAATGCTGTTCCTGTACAACAATGAAAAGCACAGGGATGGAAAAGATGCCTGGAGTTATGATCAATACAAATGGATCCACAACGAAGGTATCTTTTGCCAAAGGCGGATCCTCTGGTAAGGAAGACGTGTTTTTGAAGAGTGATTGAAGTGATGTTTCACAGATATGGATATTAAGTTCCTGATGAAAGCGTGGACAAGCTGATTGTTCATTCTCTGGGACAAGATGAAACACCTGAGCTATGTGCACCCCCTGGGAATATGAGAAAATACCCCTGGAGAGCTCATATTCATACGCTGCCATCCGTATTCTCAGAAGCCGTGGAGTGGAAACATTTAGGCCTATCTAAAATGTACCAGTGAAAAACTGCATCATCGGATGCTTCACCGGCCCATAAGAGAGTGACACTAGCCAGCTACAAACTAAACGAATGTCTGTGGGACCCTTCTGCCAGGTAGAGTCAGCAGCACCAGGCCAGCTCACTATCTAGAGGTTCCCTTTCAACAATCCAACACAGAACTGGGTCAAGCCCCCACCCAGTGACTGGGGAAATTACACACTATCTCTGGGCCCCTCGGAGAGGCAACACTTCCCCGCTCGCAAGCACAGAGTCTGAGTGTAGAAAAGAAACTTAATGAAAGGAGGGAAGTCACCCGACATTAATTAGGGAAAATGCTGCAAACAGGATTCATTCTCATGAACCTGTGAGCAAGTCGCCCACCCCAGAGTGTGTGGGGCAGAGTCTTCTGCCTCAGGTTCTTGAGTTCTACAACCAAAAGTTCCTTTACCGTGCCCCTCTGCTCCCTCACCACACCCCACTCACAGGGGTTGTCCTTGGTCAGGGAGGACCCAGAGTTCAGAAGTGCACCTGTGTGAGGTCACCTCCCACCCGGGGGTGTGGGGAGACGGCACCTTGCTGTGGCTGGCCGCCCCGCCAGCCGCCGTTCCATTCCGCTGGCCGCTCTGCCAGCTGCTGCACTGCACACTGTCACCCTCTGCTGCCACTTGCCTCTCTACTGTGACCTCTGCAAGTCAAGTCTCCCCCCGCCCCCCAGCTATTAGTGACTTTCAGCTCTCAGCGGGGGAACTTCATTGCTGAAGCAGGCTGGGCAGAAACGCTGTCCCACAGTCAGTGAGTTCAGCTTTAGTGAGCACATAGCAAATTGGAGCCCTACTTACCTCTGTCTTTGAACCGTGGGGAGAGGCAGGTTAAACCGTGCCTGGGGCTCTGAGATGGAGCCCACACCTTCTGGCAGGGACACCAGCACCCACCAGCAGCCAAGCTCCCTTCACTCCCTGCCTTGGCCACACCTCTTCCCCGCCTCCTGCCCTGAGCACACCGCATCCCCGCTCCTCCGCCTACCTCCCAGCGCTTCCCACCGCCCCACCACCTAACAGCTGATTGGAGGCGCTTTGGACTTTCCGGAAGGGAGGGAGGCGGAGGAGCAGGGACGTGGCACGCTCAGGGGAGGAGGCGGAGAAGAGGCGGGGCAGGGGCAGGGACTTTGGGGAAGGGGTAGAATGGGGGCAGGGCAAGGAAAAGGCGGGGAAGTGGTGGGGCCGGGGTGGGGGGGGGTGAGCACCCACCCAGCAGAGGGGAAGTCGGCGCCTATGCTGTCCCCACCCCCTCTTATTTTCACAGGAGTCCGGCCTTCGAGCCTCTGGCTTAGCGAGTTCATTTCAGCTGAGGGTGACCCCCTCAATCCAGACAGGCTAAGCAAAGGTGCTGACTTTTACTTCCCCCACCCCCGGGTGCTCCACCCTCTCTCCACACTGAGGCCCCATCTCCTAGGGCCCTGCCTTCACTGCGCCTGTTCCCTTCCCCACTCTGGCCCCTCCCCAAGGCCCCCGCTGGCTGCTCATTGGTCTCCGCCCTCCCCCACGCTGCCGATGGCAGTGCCAGTGATCAGCTGTTTGGCACTGCCCCCAATTAGCTGCTAGGAGGGGGGAGCTTGAGCTAGCTTGGCCTGTCCCCGGCCGCGGAGCCTGGGCAGGAAACGGGCCGCCGCTGCCTCCCAGCCAGGCTCTCTCAGGCAGAAGCGGCTCCGTCCCCCTTCCCACCCAGCTTGCAGGGAGAGCGGCCAAATGTGCGGGGGGAGGCGCTGTGAGAGAAGGAAAGAGAGCAGACGCCCTTCCCCTCAGGTAATGTCAGGCAGGAAGAGCTGCGGCCCGAGGCTGCATGCAGGGCGGGGCGGGCGGGGGGGGGCACTGCACAGGGGAGACACATGGGGCGGTCACGTGTCCGCCTCCCCTTTAGATTGTGCCCTGCCCTGTATAGGGAGGCACTAGCTGTGTATGCAGCGAGGGACCTATCTCAGGCTTCTGCTCCCCTGCCATCACATTTCTGTGTGGAGTATTTCCAGGCTGCAAAGCTCCCTGCCTTCACTCTGTTATTCCCAGCAAAGACAGTCTGGCCCAGGACACCTGCTTGGTGTCTCTTCAGAGACTGAAAACAGTGACTGTCAGCAGTGACGTGTCACCACACAGCTCCTGCTATACAACCCTATTTTAGTCTTCAAGTAAAAGAACTCCAGAGAAAACATACTGACAAGAATGAACGAGCCTACATGCAAGTTCATAAGCTTACCAGAGTACACCTGAACCCTTGTGGAGGGGCAGGGAAGACCCAAAGATCGAGCTCAGAGGCCGTCAGAGGTGCAAGAGCAAAGACACAGATGTACCTGGATGGGCTGAGACATCAGTGAAAGGGCTGAACATGGGGAATGAGTGATTCCTGCAGAGGGAGACAACTCACCCAGTCTGGGACACTTGGCCTCTCCCCCTCCCAGAGCTCAAGAACCAAGGACATTCCCAGGCTGCTCAGGAAAATGGGATTTGCCAGAAAAGTTTTATTTGCATCTAATTTGGGGATTAAAAAACACATAATTAAGTAATACTGAGAAAATAATTCAATAAGCAATAAAGATTCCACAGACATCCGACTTTCCAGAAATTTCAGACCCCTCCTCATCCCCACCATGCAGAAACAGGGAGAAAATGCCTCCCGGGGCGGCAATTTCCAGAATAATCCCAGTGTGCAACGATGTGAACTGAGCCCCTGGCTGAAAACAGGGACCAGGACACCCAGCTGAACCCTTCGGCCTGCCCTGACAGAGAGTGCCGGGAAGGGATGGGAGAGGCTCAGAGAATAATGCAATACAGTAATAATAATGTCACTCGCCTGGTGCCTCCGTCCTCCTGAGACACATAGCACTCACGTCAATAGTGGAGCCACTTGGCTCCCTAGGGCATTGGGCAACTCTTTATTATCCTCACCGTTCCTCCGATCTCTATGGATGCAGAGAGAAGAGGAGGGGAAATGGCCAGCACTAGTCAATGTGGAGTTTCATGTGGAATATTAAGGAAGTCTTGGTCTTGTACCTTTCCTCACAGATGGAACATTGATAGGGGCACTCTCCTGTGTGCCTTCTCCGATGGACATTGAAACCAGATTTTTGTCTGAAGCTTTTCCCACAGTCGGGGCAGGCATAGGGTCTCTCTCCTGTGTGGATTCTCCGATGGTCAGTAAGGTGATGACTCTGAGTGAAGCTTTGTCCACAGTCGGGGCAGCTATAGGGTTTCTCTCCCGTGTGGACTCTCAGGTGTATAATAAGGTCTGAGGTACAAGCAAAGCTTTCTCCACACTCTGGGCATCCGTAGGGTCTCTCGCCCGTGTGAATCCTCTGATGTCTGGTTACATGTGCACTCTGAGTGAAGGTTTGTCCACAGTCAGGGCATTTATGGCATTTCTCTCCCGTGTGGATTCTCTGATGTACAATAAGGTCTGACCTCTGACTGAAGCATTTCCCGCAGTCAGGGCACTTATGGGGTCTCTCTCCTGTGTGGGTTCGCTGATGTCTAATAAGGTTTGACTGGTCATTGAATTGTTTCCCACACTCAGGGCAGTGATAGGGGGTCTCTCCTGTGTGAGATCTCTGATGTCTAACAAGATGTGATCCATAACTGAAGCATTTCCTGCACTCGGCACATTCAAACCGCTTCTCCTTAGTACAGGTTCTCGCCTGGATCATGGCCACATTGGGATCTTCCAAACGTCCCCCTCGGTGAGTGGATTCACCCAGTGTCTTCCCGGGGGGGGTTCCCTGCTGCTTCTCTGGCCTGCACTGAGTTTCTCTGGCCTGCCCATGACTCTGGGGATCATCCCCTTCACACCTTCCCAGCAACGTCCCCTTTGGTTCCATTCGCTCAGGACCTGCGGGACAAGGATTCTCTTCATTGCTCTCACTCAGCGTTTCTTCACCTGCTGGGACAGAGAGAATCCGGACAGGAGTCAGTCCCTGTGCCGGGGGAACGGGAAGGTCAGAAAAGGAGAACAGGAAACTGGGGAAACAAACCAAAATAATTGCTGGGAACACTGACAAATCAGGAGTTGAATTCTCCCCACCCCCACCCCTTTCCATGAAGAAAGAGAGAAGGGAAAAATCAGCTCCCTGCATGTACTGTATTTGATGTTTTCAAGATGTTGCGCATGCCCATTCCACTTCATGCCTATTCCAATTTAGGGGTGTGAACGCTGAATGCACTGTAATTGGAGAATGTCTGCAGTGGTACCCACTGGGGTGGCACATGCACCATGCATGCCCTCGTGCATCCAGGCGAGGACATGAAGGACAGAGCTCCCCCTGCACCATCTCAGTTCATTTGCACCAGCAGCCTATCATAATGGACTCCGAAGGAGAAGGGAGCATGGCGGGTGCTGGAATAGACATGTGCAAGATGTCCTGGAAAACAACTAGTACAGGCATGTTGTTTTTTCTTTGAGTGATTCTGTGTGTCTATTCCACTTCAGGTGACTCCCAAACAGTGTCCTATGGAGGAGGGTTTGAAGTCTAACTGCTCTGCAATTGCTTTTCAGAATTTCCAAAGCTAGCGCAGTCTCTAGAAGTGGCTGAAGTGGCACCATGCTTGGGAACAGTGTGATTTTAAGACCAGGTTGCTGCCCTGCAGTTATCTGGGATTGAAATGTCCTGTAGGAAAGCTGCCGGGGTTCTCACACAAAGTGCCGTCAGCTTGGAAGGAGGTTTTAATTTTGCAAGATCATAACTTGTAGTGAGATGAGAGGGGATCCTCCCAGAAATTCACCGTACGGGAACCTCCTCTCCTCTCATTCTCTCCACACAGGAAACAAAGAATTGTGGCAAAGACTGAAACTGTTTTGTCCTGTCCAGATAAAAGGCAAAGGCCAGCAGACGTCCAGCAAATGATGTTTCTCCTCAACCTTACGTGAACGTGGTTTGGGGGAAAAGGGAGGGAAAAAGATGGTTTGATTGAGATGGAAATCGGTAACCGTCTTTGATGAAGAACCGTGGATGAAGCCTTAAAACAACTTTATTCTTATAAAAAGAGTACACCAAGGGGTGGGGGGAGTGATATGAAATTCGTGCTTGTGGTTTACAAACCCTTCTAGTAGAAGTAACTGCCACTGGAAAGGTGACCTTGGCTGATAAATTAGGCAGGCCACTGGTCTGGTATTAAACCAGACAGTCCTGCTTTTCTAGAGCATTTCCCCATCTGGTTTTGTCCAGTATTAGACGGGAGATGCCATACTGAAGAGTGCATCGCTCTACCCCTGCCAGTGTGTCCTTGCATGCTGGTGAGCATGGGATGGTGTGTTCTTAAAAATTCTGCCCCCCACGTGCAGTGAGCTCACACACACCATGCATGAGAAGTCACACTGGTGGGGTGGGGTCATATCAGCAAGAACAGGCTCATGACATTCTGGGAAGTACCGGAATGTCCCGTTTTCCGGGAGTGCGTGGGTGGCCACCCTAGGATAAGTACTGAAGAGGACAAAAGCCATAGGCTCAAAGGGAGAACCTGTGGAGAAGACAATACTAATCTCTAATCTCAGGGTAGTTGGCACCGTAACTTGAGAAAAAAGACTAGTTATTTCTTTCACAAATCTTATTGACAGTGTGTCTTCACAGCACAATTAGCTTTAGTTATAATGTGAGTCTTACCCCTTACTCAACTCCCGCCCACACAACTCCCTAAGAACCAGTCTGGAGAAGCCAGCCTCGAGGTTTGAGGGATGCTGCATGGGCTGCAGTACAACTACTGCATGCAGGGCCGGCTTTAGCAGGTGCGGGGCCCCACGCCGGGACGCGAATTGTCTCGCGCACCCCCACCCCGACTCCGCCCCGCCCCGACTCCGCCCCCTCCCTGCCCCATTGGATCCCTCCCCAAATCCCCGCCCTGGCCCCACCCCCTGCCCCACCCCCTCACTGCTCCATTGGATCCCTCCCCAAATCTCCGCCCTGGCCCCGCCTCTTCCCCAGCACGCCTCATTCCTCCTCCTAACCCCTCCCTCCCAGGCTTGCGCTGATCAGCTGTATGGCGGCGCAAGCGCTGGAGGGAGGGGGGGAGAAGCAGGACGCAGCTTTTTTTTTTTTTTTTTTTCCCGCTCTGCCGGCAGCCCCGGACGTTGCGGGGCCCTCTTAGGTGCGGGGCCCCATTCCGGGGAATCGGCCGAATCGGCTTAAAGCCGGCCCTGACTGCATGCATCCATATGACACGGGGTTCATCGGCAACATCATGGAGATCTATGTCTAGATCTACCCTTGTGGTATCTCCACTGAATGCTCTATTTTGTCACCAAAGAATGTAATGGAAATAATCTAGATCTCCTCTCTAGAACAAGAAGTATTGGGTTCTTCTTCTGAATCTGATAATGAACATGGGCAGTCGGTGGCGCGATACTAGGAGGACTCACCAGAGTACAGCCTCTGGATCTGTGCCTCTTGGCAGTAGGTTTAAATGTTGGTACTGATGGCTTGAGTCCTATAGGAACAATCTGTGTAGAAGAAACCAGTACTGGAGGCTTTGAAGATGCCGAGAATGCCATGGCTGATGGTATTGGTCCTACAGATGTTCTAGCCAGTGATGAGGGCATCTCCGACTGTACTAAAGGCTGTACCCTATGAGTAGTCAGAGTTGGATCTTGTTGCACCAAAGGGGAATCCTGCATCCACAGATAGAGCAAATCTCATGACATTGCATGAGCATCACGTGTCGTGGGTCACAATAATGTTTCTGGCAGTACTGAAGTTGATGCCTTTAATACATTGTCAGAGCCATTCTCAAGGAAAGATGCTCTGGTCCTGGAGTCAGTGGCTGGATTTCCTGCTCTGATTCACTGTCGGCTAGTCTCTACCTGCGCTCTGACCTTGGTACCTGGCAGTTCCCATGAGGACTCTGCTGAGGGTTTCCAGCTCCCAGAGTCCGGTTCTGAAGAAGAAAAGTTCTTTGATTGATAAGTCAAGTCTTGCCGTGAGACTGACTTACAGCTCTTACAGGATATGGTGGGAGAAGGGGAACAAAGATCCATAGGAAAACTCCTGGCCTAGGACAAAGTACTGGACTCCAGATGACTGAGGTCTGAGAAGAGATGTACAGGATGCTCCCTATATTTTGGTGTTCTTTTCTTGAAAGATCTACAAATAGAGCATTTGTCTCTAATGTGCCCCTCACCGAGTGTGAGAGTTGCTCAGCATGCATCCGAAGAAGTGAGTATTCACCCACGAAAGCTCATGCTCCAAAACGTCTGTTAGTCTATAAGGTGCCACAGGACTCTTTGCTGCTTTCAGCGGATTAGACACCCTGCAAGTGAGACAGTGCTGAACTCTAGGAGACTTTGACATAACCAAGCCCCCAGGTACCAGGTAATAGAGCCCCAGAGAAAAACAAGAAAAAACAACGTTATAAAATAAGAAAGAACCAAATCTCCACTGGGAAAAACATGGGTACACAATAAGCTACTAGAATTATTTACAGAAAAAAGTTTCCTTGGAAGAAAGAAGGGAACCCGTGAACAACAGCCGATGGAGAGCTCGGACCACCAACCACTGCGGGTGAGCTGTCTGGGTGCTGGGTGGCTCCAACGTTTATTCCTTTGCCTGGATACATGAAGACATGCATGGCAAACTGACAGGTACCACTAGGGAAAACTCTCTGGCTATATAAAAAGCAACAAAGAGTCCTGTGGCACCTTATAGACTAATGGACATATTGGAGCATAATGCTTTCGTGGGTGAATACCCACTTCGTCAGACGCATGTAGTGGAAATTTCCAGAAGCAGGTATAAATATGCAGGCAAGAATCAGTCTAGAAATAAAGAGGTTAGTTCAATCAGGGAGGATGAGGCCCTCTTCTAGCAGTTGAGGTGTGAACACCAAGAGGGAGAAGGGGAGCCTGATTGAACTAACCTCGTTATCTCTAGACTGATTCTTGCCTGCATATTTATACCTGCCTCTGACAATTTCCATTACATGCATTCGACAAAGTGGAACCATTTCCACATCCGTTTAACCAATTTCTCACCTCTGGGGATGTTTCTCTGGATCTCTCTAGCCTGGGACCCCTGGAGATCAGGGACCCACGGCTCTTCCCCTCGGTCCAGCTGGGAGATCACGCTGGGCTTGGGAATTGGAAAACCTGCTCCGGGAAAAGAAATGAAGTGAGAGCCGAGTTTTACCATTGTTCTCAGACAGCTCTTTCCAGATGTACTGGCTGAGTGGATGCCCTTGTATAAACCAAAGGGACAGGAAGTGTTCCTGGAGACCCTTTGGGGAGGGCAGAAGGGGATTTGGGATCTCCACTCACTGCGGGATTTTACGACTCTGGTACAGGGTCACTGTTGTGGGGAAAAAGAACTAGGTGGCCTTCTTTATGACAGCCAAAGTAACACCGAAGGCCCAAATTCAGGCCCTCTGACAGGAGCTGACTATACAGACGGCCTTTACATAGAACAGTACAGGCCAGAACCTGAACAAAACTAAGATGTACAATTCCCTGCCAAATACGGTCATGGGCTATGACCAGAGGAGGGAGGGGAAGGAAGCAATGCGAAAGGCCTTAGCAACATGATAACCGCTTGTTGATGAAAAACATGATAACCGTTTGTTGAAGAAACATAATAACGGCTGATATGAAGAAATTGCTTCTAGTGAAGGCCAACTTCTCCTATAGTTCCAGCTATCTGCCAACCAGCCAATCATATATCATCTTTGGGCGTCCTGTAATAAACCCCTATGCCCTTAACCGTAAAACCCCAGAATAAACAATTTGTACCTTGAAAAGAACAACACTCTAACTGGTGCCAAGTACCACCCACCAAGAAAACCCCCCACCCAATAGGCACCCAATTCTCGTAAATAATGAGGAAGCTACCGGGAAAGAAGGACAGACCCCCACTCTTATTCTCGCATAAATGACGTATAATTTGTACTATGCTTGCGGTTTGATGGAATAAAGCAGCCTGCGTGCTGTGCTAGGTGTGGCAGTTTTCGGACTGCTACCCCAACGCGTTGGTATGTATTGCAATAAACTGGCCTCAGGCTTGAGTCTGTGAACTTAAATCAATGCGTGGGTGACTTTGACCACGACACTGTGTAAACTCTTTACACCTTCCTAAAGCTGCTGAGCCTGGGACTATGGGGCCGATTCCCCTGAAATCTAAGGGATCAGGGAAGAACTCTGAGTAGAAGCCGACTTGGGCACGTCAAAGGTGCCCAGTTTCTAACACCGAGGGCACAGGAATCCTTACCCAGCGAGGTCACATTCCTGTAATTCTCCTGCATGACGTCCCTGTAGAGGGCTCTCTGACCCGGGTCCAGCAAGGCCCATTCCCCCTGGGTGAAATACACAGCCACCTCCTCGAAGGTCACCGGCATCTGTATCAACAACAAGAGTCCCCCACTTACAACCTGCTGTCCCAGCCACAGCCCCCCCAGCTCAGTCGCAGAAGGAGCTGGGAACATCCACAGAGAGCAGGAACAGTCCTTGGGGAGGATGGGGAGGGGGGTAATTTCTGAAAGATTAGTTTAAAAACCTGCTGTTACTGTGGTCAAACCACAACTCCAGTAATTTTATCACGAGTCTCACAATATTTACCTGGGAATTGACACATGTGGTCTCAGCATTCGTGGCAGTGAAATCGCACATGTTCGACATGGCCGGCCTCTGCCATGGCTTTTGTGGGAGAGGAGAGCCTGATGCCAAGAAGCCCTGACTCAAGATGGCCACCATTTCCCCACCATTTGACGTGTGGAAGAGAGGCTGCCCCTAGCGAAGGAGGCCACCAGCTCCCATTGTTTTCAGGGAGGCTGAAGCCAGGCTCTCCTGGGGGGATGTGGCTGGGGCTCTGGGGTTGGCAGACTGTGTACGGAGCTAGAGGCAGGAAGAGGAAGAAGCAGATGGAGGGCGTGTGTGTGGGGGGGGTGAGCTGGGCAGACTGGGAAGGCCAGAGGGGACGTGTGTGTGGAGGGGCGGGATGCAGAGAAGGGCACATGTTGGGGGTGGCAAACTGAGGAGGGATGAGGGGGACAACAGGGAGTCAGTCGGGGGGAAAGAGGATGTGTGAAAAACAGAATGAAAAGGGATGTGTGTGTGTGGGGAGGAGCTTAACCCAGAACAGTGCAGGGTCATTGGGGTGGGGGCAGGCTGAGGGGGTGCAGATGGATGCGCGTTGGGGTAGGTGTGACCAAGTGGAAATTTTCTTTAATATTTTTTATGATTCCTATGTGTGTGTCTCAGTTTCCCTCTCTGCTTTGTGTAGTTACGAGTGGGTGCAGGAGGGTTAACACTGCTCCTGGAGCAGCACAGAATACATGTGGGGGGCTAGGAGCATGGGGGTGTGTGGTCATCCTGCTGTCTGGGGTGGAATGACTGGGCCATTAAAGGGCTGGCTGGAAACCGACCTCCAGATCAATGGAGAATCCGAAAAGACAGTGGGGGCCCCAGTGGCTGGGACACTCGCCTTTCGCAACCAGCGACCTGGAGGAAGGAGATTTCCCCCTACGGCTGTGCTGGAAAGCTGAGCTGAGGCCCCAGCTGGAGAACAAAGGGGAAAGGTGCCGGGTGGCAGGGTTAGGTGCTGCCTTCTGGAGAGACACGGAGCTCTCGCTTTGGACTGACGGAGTCTGTCTACACAGCAAAGAGTAACCCGCTGCTGCCCTGTCCCAGCTGACTTGGGCTCACTGGGCTTGGGCTGAGGGGCTGTTTCATTGCTGTGTAGACTTCCAGGATCGGGCTGGAGCCGCAGCTCTGGGACCCTCCCACCTCCCAGGGTCCTTCAGCCCCAGCTCCAGCCCAGATGTCTACACAGCAATGGAACAGCCCCACAGCCCGAATCAGCTGGCACAGACCAGCTGCGAGTGTCTAGCTGCTGTGCAGACACACGAGACAGAGCCGGTAATGGTATCCATCCCAGCTTGGCTGGCTGATTGCACGGGCTTGGCCAGGACGGGCTATGGCTTAACCTTAACCATGGCTTCTCTCTGCTAATCTCAGGGCTTCCCCTGCTGGGTCCCGGCCCACGAATAAACCCTGCTCGGTTTGGAAAGGGCTGCCAGGTGTCACTGCAAATCCTGGCTGAGATATACTGGTCCTTGCAGAGTGGGCAGGTCTCTGCCCAGGAGCCTGGCTCAGTGGGACTCGTTGGGCAGAGCTCACAGCATGAAGCAGCAAGGCTGGAGCCCAGAACTTCGTTCTTCGTGGTGGTGAGGCGGTTACAGAAGAGTGGGACCCCTTGGGGGTCTGGCCAACTGAAGGGGATCCTCCAAACAGGGCCGGCTCTAGGTTTTTTGCCACCCCAAGCAAAAAAAAAAACAACCTCCGAGAGCGCAACTACTGAACCAAAAAAAAAAACCCCCTCCCGGAACGCCACCCCTGGAATTGTGCCACCCCAAGCACATGCTTGGTTTGCTGGTTCCTAAAGCCGGTCCTGCCTCCAAGGGGCTTTTTAAAAGCTGGGGGTAGCATGGATCTTGTGGATCTGCGACAGCCGCTAGGAGGCATACCAAGGAGTCTGCAGGGCGGCGAAGGCAGGAGGTAGGCCGAAGATCGGACAGGAAGATGTGAGCAGGGGCACATGAAGGAGGTCACAGGGGCTGTGTCTGGGAAGGGGTGGGAGCAGACCCAGGGCTGGACAGGAGGATGCCTGGGGGATGAGTGGGAGGTGGGGAAGCAGACTGACCCTTAAAGGCGCACAGGGATTTGTGTGTTGTGGGGGACTGGCAGGAGGTAGGTGGAAGAGGCCCCAGGAGGATGCAGGAGGGGAGGATAAGCAGCAGGAGATGGTATATGGGAGGCAGAATGAAGAGGATATGGGGGGGTTACTTGTGGCAGGGAAGTGGGTAACAAGCTGAGGAAGGTGCTGTGGGTGTGGTGGTTCAGAGGGGGCACACTGGGCAGGGAACAGGCAGCAGACCCCTAAAATAGATTTTGGGGTCCCCTAGATAAATGACCTGCCTATTGCTCCCTTAATCTGTCCTCCCCAAGGTATAAATTCCCAGGGTTGTTAAGGAAAACACTAAAGGACACAATATAACCTGCAGATAAAGTAACTGACACGGGCGATATTCTTTCCTAAACAACAAAGTGTCCTTTTATTAAAGTAACAATCCCTCCTACAATCTAATCTAGAAACAGAAATCAAACAAATCCCTTACTGCAAATTACAAAGCATTGACACTGCCACAGCATACAGGTTAAATGATTCTAAGGGAAGCACTTTGCTACAAATGGCCAGTTTGTAACAAACTGCTGACAGCATTTCTTAAATTGCTTTCAAGTTTACATAGTTAGCTTGCAATCGGTAACACAATTGTATGCATTCTTATAAACTCTCTCTCACACACACACACACACACTAATCCTATAGACTATCCTACACTATGCCTATTCTCTACTATAATTAAAAGAATAGCAGACTTACTTTATAAGTCCGTTGGTATCCCTTTAAATCACTGTTTTAAATGCTTCAGTATTTTTCTTTAATCGCTATTGCTTTCCAGTTCCTGGTCAGTCAATTTTGCTCCACTCCAGTTTTCTTCCTCTCTGCAGCACCTTTTCTAATATGTTTCCAGTAGCTCTTCTCCGGCTTCCCTGGCTGGCTTCTAATTTATCCCACTTTTCCTGATCGACTCTCTCTTTCTTTCTAATCCAAACCCTCCTGCATGCTGGCTCTCTTCTAGTATACCTTTCTAGCAATTACTTCACTCGCAGATGCTCAGTATTCACCACTACCTCGGAGCTGCGACTGAGGGCTCTGATTTTAGGGCAAGCTGTAACTGATATGAGTGGGCTGTAGCCAGCCAGCTGACCAACTAAGGGATCTCTTCCTCACCCCATATTAGACATGCTCAGTAGCTACCAATTTTGCACATGCTCATTGCTACTCTTCACCAGTCAGAGGCGTGACTCTTTCTGTCCCTACACACACGTGCACACTCATATCTGTCTCTTTGCTGGGGCCCCATCTTAGAAATGCTGGACTTTCTGCAAATTAGCTGAACTTTTCACCCTATCTCAGTACTGCGCATGCTTAACATCGGCAGCACAGAGTCAGGGCCGGCTCCAGCTTTTTTGCCGCCCCAAACGGCGAAGCGAAAAAAATAAAATAAAGCCGCCATCTGCAGCACTTTGGCGGCAATTCAGCGGCGGGTCCTTCGCTCCGAGAGGGACTGGGGGACCTGCCGCCAAAGACCCGGACGTGCCGCCCCTCTCCGTTGGCCACCCCAAGCACCTGCTTCGTTCGCTGGTGCCTGGAGCCGGCCCTGCGTAGAGTGGAGCCACTCTTGTTTGTTCTGAATAGGGGTGAGGCAGACAAAATGGAGGCTGGAGAATTTCTCTAGGACCAGACTGAGCAGGGTGTTGGGGACATGGGAGGCGTAGGCTGAGAGGCTGTGACAGTGTCCCCCGGGTACAAGCTGGACTGTGGGACCGCGGAGCCCTCTGTTCCACCAGCATGGGCTGCCTGCCTCTCACGCTGTGATGCTGATGTCTGGCTACAAGCCTCTGCCAGGCACTGCATTTACACAGCCATCCACAGGCAGGGACACACCCAACTGTGTTGCATGAATGATCTCCCAGCCACTCATGAACCATCAACTGATACCAGTCAGCTCTGTGTTCTTGGGGAACCAGGGTGCAGTACCCAGCCTGTCTGACTCATGAAGGACACCCCCCACCCCCCGCAGCCTCTGCTTAAACCAAAACCCATCAGAGAAAAGACTTGCAGAGAGCAGTGAAGGGTGTTGGGAGACACACCTAGACCCTCCTGACAAGGGTGACAAGATTAAGACATCTCCATTAGCATACAAAATGGAGAGCAGAGACAACTCCCCAAGCCTCATCTGCATCTCAATTTGCATACAGAATGGAGACCAGAGAACCTCACTGAACTCTGGGACCAGAAAAAGCAGGGAAGCCCACACCCAGCTCAGCAATTATCAGACCAATTCTAGTAATGAATCCTTAATTGATATCCAAATACTGAAGCAGCCTAGTTGCATTGTGAGCTCCCTGGAAGAAAACAACACCCATAGCCAAGAGTGATCAGCTCCTATTGTCTAGCCTAAAGAAAACCCTTCAGTCATCAGTTTACCTATAAACAAATCTAGTGTTCTCCCTTGAACCATTGTATTTTCTCTACAGAAATCCCTACTCACCCTCCAGTCAGGGTTCTGATGCTTAGACCCAAACTCTGCATCAGTTCCACGGGGACTCCATCTTCTCCTTACTGATCATGTTGCGGGCTCTGCTGGTCTCCTGCCCTCAGGACCCTCCGCTACCACCCAGGGCCGGCTCTGGCTTTTTTGCCGCCCTAGGCAAAA